CTTCCCGGTGGGGCTTGGTCCCAGGAATCGTGTAAAGCTCGGTTTGTCATCCGGTAGCCACCCGTGGCCGTCTCCCGAGCAGTGGAACTGCGGTGGCCTGGATTGCGGCATGAAGGGGAAGATGGCGGCACCGCGCTGCTGAATCGTAGCGACTGCAAACCTTGCCTGCCTGACTGATTTGAAAAGCGCGATGAGCCCTGGGGACTTAATCCAGCTGTGAAGAAGGTGGGGACGTCGGAAACTTTGTTTGAGATCGTGGAGCGGCGGATCGGACGGCTGGCTGTGTTTGCCACTGCCATAGCCGCTCCAGACACCCCACCCCTCCCCCCTGTTCTATTCTGCTCGCCGCACTGCCTGCTGCCTTGATGTCCTGCGGTCCTCTGGAGAAAGACCTGGCCGCTTGTCTGCCTGGTGTGGTTGCTCGGGTGGAGAGGAAGACGGCACTCTGAATTCCACGCTCCAGATTCCGAGGGAATGAGAGGCCTGGATGCCCCCCCTTTTTTTCTTTCCAACTTCTGGCCTCCGTGTCATCATAGCCTCCTCCGGACATTGCTCCTTTGCCTCCCTCCCCAGCTATTGGGAAGCCTTTTACCATCTCCCTAGCTGCTTTGACTCTTCTCTACCGTGGCCTGTGTCCGATGCCCTGCCTGTAACATCTGCTCTCCCCCGCCTGTCTGCCACCTGCCATTGCTCTGGTTAGTTTAGATAGAGTTAGATAAGAGATAAATATAGTTAGTTATAGGTATAGGTATAGGTATAGTTAGATAGTTATAGTGTAGAAATAGTTACGAGGGCAACGGTTGGTTGCACCCGGGGGTGCGGGAGGGATTAAATGGCAGGAATTAGGGCTAGGGTCAGGGTTTGAGATAAGAGTTAGGGCTGGGCTAGGGCTGGGTTAATGTAGGATTAGTAGTAGATTAGGCTGGTGTTGGGTTAAGATTGGGTGGGGTTAGGGTGTAGGTTAGTGGTAGATTAGTGTTAGGTTAGTGTTAGATTAGTTTAGATTAGTGATTAGGTTAGGAATAGGGTTGGGGGTGGGCTGGGTTTAGGAGCGATAGAGGATGGCGGCTGCAAGGGCTGGGACTTGGACTTGGTTTCGGAAAGATCAGCACTCTCTCCCCTGCTCCTAGAGCAGCTCGGGCCAGTTCCAGACTTTGGCCCCCCAGACTATGGACCTTATTCAATCTCAGGAAAGTGACTCCTGTGCATGCGGTCCGCTGACCTTCTTTTAGGTGAGAAGAGGGGTGAGACTGAATGGCTGATACTTGTGACCACCAGACTTTCATGCCTTACCCTTTCCTACGTACGGCTGCCCTGTACACTATCAACTTTTGTTCTGGTGGCCGTGGGCGCCTCTCCGGGACATAGAGGAGAGAGAGGAGCCGAGCAGTTCTCTCTCCACTTTTACATCATCGTTTGATAACGCACTAGCGCAGTGCTCCGGACATTTTAATGTATGAGGCGTGTTTGAGGTGTGACTGTGATGTATCTATATACCCACTTTTATTATATAGCTGTATTTGTGTTTTTTTTTAATTGCCATGGGGGAGTGTTTGTTTGGATGAGTGAGTACATTTGAAAAGGCTGGGACTATAACCGGGTACCTCCTGCTTTGAAGAAGTGCCTGGTTTAACCCCCAGCCTTAGAATGCATGGTTTGAAGGGCTTGCCAGGGATGTCGTCAGCCCTGGGGGAGGGTGGGGGGCCTATGGACATGGGAGTGGGCCAGAGCATTACGGTCTTAACTGGGAGAGGCAGATATGGCGGGGACTTTAGGGCGAGCCATTACCGGGGAAGGAGGGTTCGCTATGTTACAGAGATCCCTCCTTCCGGCCCTATCAGTCCCACTCCAAGGCCAGATGGCGTGAGTAATCAGGGCCCTGGTCTCAGGTTGTTGTTGCTAAATGCCAGGTCTGTGGTTCACAAGGCTCCCCTCGTCCGGGACTTAATTTTAGACAAGGGGGCAGATCTGGCATGTATTACTGAAACCTGGCCGGGCCCGGAGGGAGGAGTCCCCCTCACCGAGATGTGCTCAGAGGGTTTTCAGGTGCTTCACCAGCCGTGACCCAGGAAAGGGGTGGGGGAGTGGCCGTGGTTATCCGAGAGTCTCTAGTTCCTCATAGGATCCCTGCTCCGGAGCTTGTCCCGACAGCTCCGGAGCAGGGATCNTTCCCTTCCTTTCCTTTCTTTCCTCTTCCCTTCCTTTCTTTTCCCTTCCCTTCCCTTCTCTTCCTTTCCTTTCCTTTCTTTTGTTTTCTTTTCCCTTCTTTTCTTTTCCTTTTCCTTTCCCTTCTTTTCCCTTCCTTTCTTTTCCCTTCCTTTCCCTTCCTTTCCCTTCCCATCCCTTCCCTTTCTTTCCTTTCCTTTGCCTTCCCTCCCTCCTTCCTGTCTTTCCATCTTTTCTTCCCTCCTTCCCTCCCTTCCTTCCATTCTGCCTGCCTTTCTTCCCTCCCTCCCTCCCTCCCTCCCTCCCTTCCTAACCCTAACCCTAAACCTTTGAGTTGAAAACTTGTTTCTCAACCTTGTTGGTTAGCAATTCTGGCTGGGGAATTCTGGGAGTCGAAGTTCACCCGTCTTACAGCTGTCCATGTTCCGGCACATTGAGCAAAAGGAAGTGGAGACACTTCGCTCAAGGGGAGATGGAAGGTGGAATGGGGACAGGCTAATAATAATCCCAGTCCAATCCTCAGAGGGTTGTCCAGAAAGGACGGTGTAGACTTATCCTCCGTGATGCCCCAAGGAAGACCCCAACCCAAGCATGAAAGCTTCAGAGATGGAGATTCAAACACACAATAAGGAGGACAGTGCTGAAAAGTAATCTCCATGGTGTTGTAGAGCAGTGTTTCTCAACCTTGACAACTTGAAGTCCACAGGACTTCAAGTTGCCAAGGTTGAGAAACACTGTTGTAGAGAACTCTGTAAACTAGAAGGTTGCAAGCCATTTGTCCAGGATGGTCCGAGGTTTCTAGGCATGGGGTCAGATTAGATGACCTCCAAGACTAGATCCAGGGTCTAGGATTTTAGGTCTGACAAACTGCACTGGAATTTCCCAGTAGAACCCAGGATCCATTGTTCTTTCAGCAATTGCAGCTGTCGGAGATAGAAGAGAACGTAAATGAGAACAGAATAGAAGCTGCTGTCTGGAAGAGGGAAGCAGAGAGGAAAAGAGGAACATGTCGTGGGCCCTTAACTCCATTTCATTTGAACTTTCCTGTGGTTGGTGATTGCAGCTGCTAGCTGGAAGTGGGCGGGGGGGAAGCAGAGAGAGAAAGAGGAACAGGTAGTCTCCATCATATGTCCATGAACCAAAATAGTAATAATACATTCTGGATTGGTGCGCTTGAAATTGTGATTTTATTTATTTCAAAAAGACCGGTTTAGTTCAATGTAATAGCTGTCTTGCACCTGTCTTTCGCAGTACTATTTTCAAATTTGGACACAAATTTGTAAACAAATTACTAGTCTACATAGACAGATTACCTATCTAGAATCTCTAATCTGTGCTCTCCAAGCAGAAATTAGGTGCCCAATTCGGACATTCCACTCTACGGAGATGCCACGCTACCAGCCCCCACTACCACAAAGATCCCGCAGGAGAATAGCAGTCTGGACAACCGTGGGATCTGGCAGGATGAGAGCTGTGAACTATAAACACAAAGCTTTTGCTGTGACCCAGCATAACAGATATAGCAATAGCAATAGCAGTTAGACTTATATACCGCTTCATAGGGCTTTCAGCCCTCTCTAAGCGGTTTACAGAGTCAGCATATTTGCCCCCAA